ATATATATATATATATATATATATATATATATAGTTATTTAATAAAATAATAATTAATTATTAATATCATTATATAATGCAGATCAAATAGTCACTTTTCTATTTCCTTTTACTTATAGTCATCAGCAGACCAGTTGTGCTGCTTATAAATAACAGACAATGGTAAAATTTGAAGGTAAGAAATAATAGTAACAATACAAATTAAATTTTTTGTAATTGGTACAGAAGCAACTGTTTGAATAATAACCAAAATAAGGGATTCTTTAAGCTATTTTAGAATTATTAATATTAAAGAACTGTGGATCATACAGTGCACTTTATAAACACAGCCTTTAGACTGACTGATACATATAATTGACAGTAAAATCCGGTTTAACATACTATACTAATCAAGCAATATTTAAAATTTATATATTAGAAGAGTGGGATAGGAGGAAAGAAGCAAGTGCTGAAGTTTTGTGTATTACATTACAGGAAGGACAAATTCTGAAATGTTCTTTAATGCACAAGTTAAGACAAATTAAGTATCTGTGTCAGATAATATATATATCACAGGTATGATTCATGAAATACGTTTAAATATCATATTAGCAGACTGGCTTGCTATGGAAACACAGTTTTTCACACATTTATTACAAACTCACTGAGGTGGAATGACCCACAGAAATATCCTGTAAATATCAGAAGTGACACAACTCGCGAAACAAATTACATCAAAATACAAATACAACAAACTATAAAATGTAGTTTAGCCCTTGTAGTGTAAATGAAACCTGTCTTATTTTACAGTAGAATGAATAAAGATAAGGACTGCATTAAATGACTGTCACAATTAAATATACCATTCACTAAAGAGAAAGATGTAATACTGTTACAGCACTAGCAATAACTTACATTCTACTGACAGATGACCAGCCATCTCGACTTTTCCAGCTACATTTTCCGCATGACAGAAATACTCTCCATCATCATCTTTTTCCACTTTGTTAATGGTTATAGTCAAAATCACAACCTCTTCCCCTTGAGACTTCTCTGTTAATATTCTATCACCCTATGTGATGTGTATGTCAATAAAGTTATTAATATTAAGAATGGAAGTTATATTCACAGCACTCTTTTTCTATTTTTTTCCTTGGAACCTCAAGCAACTAATTACGGTGAGAAATATCACGAATACAAACTAAAGCCATACCCGATATGCATGAATAGAAAAACAAGTTATTGTTAATGGATTCTTATATGATTAAAAAGTAATCAATATTTCCTTCAAAATACTAGCTTAAAAACATTTTAAAGGTACAGTTTCTCTGATCTCTGCTAAGTTTCAGAAATCAAATATTTGCACTTCCTTGTTTTTAGTCAACCAAATTAACCAGATGAGGTATTATTTTTGAACCTGATTGGAATAATTTATTAATGAGACATATTATTAATTATAACAGTCTATTCCTGGATGGTACTCTCTGCAAGTGTTACAGGTATCAAAATAGTTATTAAAGCTAGAAAAGTCCAATTCTGTTATCTGAAAACATCTGCAAGAGTACATTAAAAGTAATTTAGTCACAGGCAAGTTTTAGTTCAGTATGAAAATCTTTAGCCAGTCTCTACAAGTATTACTATCCACAACAAATGTCAATAGTTGTATGTCAAAATATGCTTCTGTTAGTATTTAAATAATTCTTATGTTAAAAACAACAACTGTAGTTTGAGTAGTCATGCAAAGACAACTTCCATGCCTGGATTTTAATAGCCTTACTTTATGATTGTGTTAATATCAAATCAACAACAACATTTAGGTTAGTTATTCGATACTTAGGGTGAGCTCTTATTTCAGTGTTGATATTAAAGCACCACTAATTATTCAATAAGTTAATAAAACTATCAAACATTCTCCTGCTGAGCATGGCATTCATTTTACTATCTTCACAAGAAAGATGGGACACTGTGTACATATGAATGTGCATTATTTGTCATTCAGGCCAACTGAATACTGCTATAAAATCTTCTACAAATTCGTCCCTATTGGCTAGTTTCTTTATATTTTAGTGTAACTATTTTCAAAATATTATTTAACTTGTATTTTTAGGTGTCTTGGAGATTTGGGCTAAACCCAAGAAACCCTGAAAGTTTCAGTTCAGGGGGTTAGATTTTATTTTCACCATGTACAGATACACAGACATAATTTGCTTTGTAGTATAGATACAATATTGCTTTAACCGTAAATTCTCCAACATGTAACCTACAACAACAACAAAAAAAAAAGTTATGATGTTTCTTACAAAGATTTATGCTCCATTGAAATTACAAGAATGAAACGTTCAAACAATGGCAAAGCAAATTTGTTAAAATCTAGTGAGAAAACTGGAAAAAAATGTATCTAAAGTGCTTGATAGATACAAGTATGGAATAATTAATAAACAGTGTGGTATAAAAACTAACATAATGTGTAATAAAATATTTTTACTAAGTTCCTGTGGATCATACTTAGTAAACATTAAACGTTTGCTGATCCTGATTACAGAACAGAGTGAATGAAATAGAAAAGAAATTTAGTTAACTAATATACTGAGAAAGTAATATTTCCAGATTTTCTTTGAACACTACCTAACCTAGTGATTTATTAAATTATACAATAAGTTATAGTGCTATTAGCAGTATTAAAGTTTTTCAATACAATGCATAAATATGTATGTAAGCAAAAATATACACACATTGGAAGAATAACAATTCAAAACTAAGTACTGGCAAAAACCTTACAGTTTCAACTTGTTGATCCCCATCCTTAAAGATGGTGAGTTCTGGAGAAGGGACACCAGATGCATGACATTCCAATGTAACTGTTGTTGCTTCCACTGAAGTCTTATTTTCAAACTGGATAATTTTTGGTTTGGCTATAAAAAAAACATGTTAATTAATAGTAAAATCAGAATCAAAGGATAATACATTTTGTCTAATAGTTCAACAGAAAAAAACAAAAACAATTAAACCTTCACATGACTAAATATCATGCACTCTGTCACCAAGCAACTATTTTACTTTTCCATTAGTAATAATGAGAGATAAACTATAATATACAATAATCTCTGATTCATCAGTTATGAACTTGCATAAGAGGAAAATTGAAATGGCCATCAAATTCTGAAAAATAAAACAACTTTAAACACTATGAAACAAATGTACAGACAACTTTCATGAATTTCCTTTATACATATTATCTTCAAAAGATTGTCTCAAAAATATTTGGTTTTCTAACTTATAAGCTACATACACATTTGTTCAAGGCAAATCAGCATAAGTATTTGTAAAGATAAAAACTGTTTTGAAGAAAACAAAAAAGTAGTTAAAACTTTGCCAACTAAAATTTTATGTCATGTAATACATACACTAACTTAAGAATAGCCCTTGAAAACCGACCTTGACTCACAAGTAAAAGGTCAGTTTAATATCACTCTTCTCAAATAACTTCTCAAAGAATTAAATTTTCCATAATTTTTCTGAAGAGTTTAAAAGCCAAAATTTATGAACAATACATTAGAATATTTTAATGCTACGTATAAAATTAAGTAACTTCTTTCAAAGTATGATCTTCTGGCCTTTTTAAATATTTAACTAAAAGCCTAGTTGTGATGCAGTTGTACTTGCTGAACAGCATTATTAAATGAAAGAGGAATATCTTATTTTCATAGCTTTCAATCAAAATTATAAGCTCTTTCAAATATATTTAAGCATTTCTTTTAACCACAAAGACACATTATTCCCGAGCAGCTTTTATAAAAACATTATTACCGTTGGATAAACAAATCAGTGTTTTTATACAAAGAAAAAAATAAATTTCTATCTATCCCATTAGAGATGATTTTCATAAAGCTTTTGCCAATCCATTTTCCTCTCATGGGAGAACCTCTGTATTAAGGCTGAAGAACTATGGTTGTGTTAACAAACTGTAGCCAGTGATCTCTAATTCAGTGAAATTGCCTAATCATTCATAATTAGGCTTCACAACTTTATGTTTTAGACTCTCTAAACCCCTTATAACACATAGGAATGTACAATTCTTTAATACTTGTACGTTAATATGAGAAAATAGAAACAACTTTCCTCAAAAAGGGAAGGATTGGGTCTTTACCATTATATACTAATTTTTTTTTCTCTCATAAGTAGCTTAACATATTCCAGTCAGCAGCACAGTGTAAAATATGCTTATAAGTTAACAAATGGGAGTTGTTCACACGTAAAGTACATGTAATGACAAAGTTGACCATAAAAAGTGTAATCTCATATACAGTTAAAAGAACACACTTTTTAATTGATAAAGTTGCTAGATAGGCCCTTGGTGTTTACCTACTTTTTGTTTAGCTTTAGATAATGAAGTTTTCTATAATTGAAAAACTGTTTTATCGTGAAATAATAAAAAATATATTATATGGCTTTTGTGTAAAAAAATATAAAAAGTAGTTAGCTTAAAGTTATAGAAATTAATAATCCAATCATAGAATTTTTTCAGTCATGATGTTACAAAGGTAAGAATAAAGTGATACAATCAAAATAATAACTATTCTAATATTTTAATGAATCATAGTTTATAAAAAAATATATCTGTAATAACCTAAATGGTTTCTGAAGAAATTCATTCCTTTGACAAATTTAATTTAATCAGTAAATTTTCCCCAAACTATTTAGATACGAGTGCCACCCAGTTTGCATTTAAATAATTCTAGACATTAAAGATTTTAACCAAATTCAGAGGATTCTATATGCTTGTGATTTTATTTACTTGAACAATTACTTTAAAACAGAACTCACAGAATACTGTAAGCTTCATGATTTTCTGATCACTCCCAGCTTTGTTTTCAGCTATACATGTATATATACCAGCATCATCTTTGCTCACTTCTTGTATTGTTAAAGTACCAGTAGCTTCATCCACTATAAACCTTTCCTGGGAGTTAAGTTTTTCACCATTCTGAAAAAGTAAAACACTAGCCATATGTATAAATTGCTATTACCCTTTCTGAAGAGTTTAAAAGCCAAAAATTTATGAACAATACATTAGAATATTTTAATGTTACGTTAAAAGAACACACTTTTTAATTGATAAAGTTGCTAGATAGGCCCTTGGTGTTACCTACTTTTTTAGGTAAAAAAAAGTACATTTTTGAAATGTACAAAAGTTGTTAAAATTCATTGTTTAAACATTACTCCTGTAACATCTCGTTACACACAAAATCAAAGACAACTATCAAACACAGGACTAAATACAACAAGAAATATTATACGAGAACAACTGTTTGTTGATTAGAAGATTAACCTAGAAACCTCTTGGATGTTGACTTAAACTTTTAGTTTTATGGCAGTGTCATGCTAGATGTACACTTCTATAGGAATTGCTTTAAAAAAATGTTAATATTTGATCTTTTCAGAGAATTACTTCCCATTTTCCACTATTAATTATAGATATGGCCAATTCTGTACATTAAAAAAAATGTTTTAATACAAAATCTTACTGGCACAAGTTATTTGGTTTGCTTTTTAATTCTAAAATTAATGGTGAGCCATAAAGACCTCATTGTTTTTTTTTAAATATTTATGCACCAAATTAAAGTCCCTATAAAACCCACATAAGTTTAAACAAAATGCTATCAATACTGCAGTTAACCTTGATAATTACTTCTGGGGATTCCTATGTATTTTACATAGAAAATGAACACAAATTTACCAATATTTTTTTTTTATCACTTCTTTACAATGACTGCTGTAAGAGACAAAAATATCAAATTACTCAATATGATACATGTGCCTCATTAGTAATTTGAGGGTTAATTTGTTTATTAAACATTTATTTTATTCATTTATTCCTTATTTTCTGTTTAAGCTTCATTTTCTGAAATAGAAATGTACTAAATATTTTGTTTAAGAAAGTTGTAAACTAGAACTATCTCTTTAACCATTTTATTCTTTTTCTCTTTATTTCTCCTTTTCTTTGTTCTAATTACTATTTTTTGTTTGCATACCTCTTCAGTCTTATTCACTTCTTCCCCTACACTATGAATCAACATGCTACATATTAGGTCACTTTCTGTTATGACAACAACAACACACATTTTCATCATGCCACTGTGAAACACCATAGTACTCCTTTCAGGTGATTGAAAATCAGATCACAAGCTTTTCATTTAAATTTTTTACACCATTTTACTTCTAAAAAAAAAAACCAAGAATACCTCTCAAGAGTGCTCTATTTCTAACATCCATTGTACTTTCCAAACACCATTAACTTAATAGAAGAACATTTTACCAGGTCAAGCCAGGAATATGTAGGAATTGGATAGCCAACATCAGCTCTACAATTTAGAACAACATTTACACCATTTTACTTCTAAAAAAAAACCAAGAATACCTCTCAAGAGCGCTCTATTTCTAACATCCATTGTACTTTCCAAACACCATTAACTTAATAGAAGAACATTTTACCAGATCAAGCCAGGAATATGTAGGAATTGGATAGCCAACATCAGCTCTACAATTTAGAACAACATCTTCCTCTTCTAATGCTTGAGCATCATCCTGAGACTCTGTAAAGTTGGGAGGGACTGAAGAAGAAGTAAAAAAATATATATAAATATTTATAGAGGAAATTATATTAAGAAGAAGTAAACAAAGAAATAATAATCTTGAAATATATTTCTTATTATTTGGTTTTACCAGCTTATGCATTATACAGTAAAGTATAACAATCCACTGCAACATCAAAATCCTATCACACGAATGGAGTTCATTCAAATCTTGTGATTTTAAAGTACCCAATATTTTATGCACCAAGAGTAACTTGTCTAGGTTTATTGTTATAATATTGAAATAGTATTCAAATAAAAAAAAGAAGAATTGCAACTGACTTCGATACCTGAAAAAAGGGATAGTTATTATTTCATTAACAACTGTTTTAATAACCCTAATAAAACCAACTAGTAGTTGCATAATTAGACAGTAGCATAACTATATTTCTTTACTTCCCACAGTGTTTGTTCCTATGATATAAGTGGGTTATAATGAGCATGATAAAAATAACTTACTTTGCACATCAAACAAGTTCTAATGTATTTTAAAGTGTTCCATAAAAAAACAAGTAATAAAAAACATTGCATTGTCACATTAAGTTCATGTGGGTTATCACCTCTGGTACTATATAGAACAATAGAACAACTGTAATCTTTTTTTCCCCATTTGCTGTAAAAATTTCAACCCCTTTTTTTTTCATTAAAGGAAGAATATTGGTGACACATTTTTTGTTCATTTACATGTTGTTATTTGTGTGGTAGATTAAAAATTGAACCATAATGAAATAGTAGGTAACTGCTGGTGAACAATTACTGAAAAAGTTATTTCTAACTATTAGCTTATGAACATTTTGAACATACATATTCACATGGTAAAATCCCAGGCAAGTTATCAACATAATACAGCAGCCTACAAGATAAATTTACAGATCTTTTTACAAATATACCAAAAGATAACTGCCTCTAGAAGTTGACTACTGCTTATCTAAACACACAGATCTTTCTTAAAACTGAACACCTGTGTAACTAAGACATTTTCAAAAATAAAATCAAGTGGTGGGGTAGAATTTTATCCATAAAAATACAATAAGGATCATTTGACCAAATTGATGACCTCATAATTTTGTTTTTCTGGTTTGAAATATTTGTTTGTATTTTCAGATTTCACCATGCTATAACTGCACTTTTTTGTTAATAGGATAATCTATCATGTTCTATTCAGCAAACTGTTTCTTGAACAGCTCTAACAAGATGCCATCCTAAAGTTCTGCCTAAATCTAAACATAACGTAAATACTAAATTGGAATGCTGCCATAGAACCATACTAGCTGTATACAACAAACACTTCGTGACTCGCCTAAACGACCAACGTTCAGTTTAGTATCCAGTTCACAATGGAAAAAAAAAGAAAAGAAACACCAACAAATTTATTTCCTGGATGTTACCAATTTAGAAAGCCAACTAACACTAGCAAGTACCTTGAATGCTCATCAGAACACCTTAAGAGCATAAAGAATGGAGTTATATACTGCCTAGCTTTTACAATGAACAAGTATTTAACAAAGAAACAAAGAAGAATCCCATTATAAAAACAAACAACATATAAACTTCAGTTTTAATTTCATTTCAGTTGACATCTGTCAACTAAAAAGAAAGCAATACATATGAATAATTTCACAACACAAAATCATTTTCCTTATTCTTTATTTTTATTTTTGTAATTATGTGTTAGAAACAATACATTTAAGAAAATTTTCAAACGAATTGCACCTTAAGTTCTGACCTCGTTACACACAAAATTCCTAAGAATCTAGTGGAGGGAAAAAAACAAAGTACTCTTAAGATACAATGATGAAAATAACTCGAAGTAAAAATTAAGGAATATAAATGTGACACACAACAATATAAAACTGATACACCATTGCTGCAATACATGCCATGTAAGCAAACATGACATAGTGAGATGATGGTAAAAGTAATAAGCCAAGTGTCACACTTGAAGAAAAAAACAAACAAACAGGCCTTTGATATGAATCAAGTAAAGAATTTCCACACAACCTGACTGGTTAACCTCATTAAAACACTATGATTACAATTTTTTATATCAGAATAATGAGCAAAAATTCAGCCCAGTAAATAATACACTTAATTTCTAAACTAAAGGTCCTGGTTCTAATTCCATAATGTAACAGAACATCAAAATCCAAGTCAAGATTACAATACAAAATGGCAGTCGATTTGGGAAACAAAGTTAACCATGAAGATTAATAAAATTATATACAAATTTGAAAAAAGGAAAGAAAATAAGGATAAGATTATCTTCAAATATTTCTCTCAGTTGTTTTTGGAAACAAGAGCTTATTTTTATAACAATCATAGGCCCCCTTTAAAAAATATCCTTATGTTAGATAAATGATTCCTTAATTACTTATCATCATAATAGTCATAAAATTTGTTTGATCTATATTGCTGCTACTTAGACACATCTATTATTATTATTATGGTATTTTTAATGATTGTCCTATCACCAACATGAGATATTTTTAAGCACTTTCAATAGGTAGTCCTTTTTCCTTCAGATACTCACTCAGTGAAAGAAATTTGAATATAGAACTGTTGCTATCTTTCTCATCATAATTACTGTTTGTTCATTTTTTGTATAAAAAAAAAAGAAAGACATAATACCAAAGAATTCTTCGATTAACTTAATGTTGCTTGACTCATACAACTATAAAGGGTATACTCTTCAAACAATCCTAAACTTGAAAAATATTAATGAAAATTAAGTGAACCAATAAAACAGAAGAAATCTTATTATAATGCGGCTTGCGATGTATACGTCCAAAATTTGGATTTTTGAAAACTACCACACTGATCATCACCAATCACAACTGGGTAATATTTTTATAGCCGAGCAATAAATAAAAATTACAAACAAAAAGGAGTAAGTTTTTAAATATAACACAATCAAAAACAAACTAAAAAAAAGTATTTGTTTTTCTTTAGTGAAAATCTCATGAGTTTTTAACAGAAAAGCAAGGCACTTTCATTCATAACTGCATCTACAAAAAAATACTTCAATAAAATATACTCTGTGATGATAGCTCATTTTT